AGCTATTTTGGCTTATTGATGAATTGACCCCTTTATCATTATGAAATGACACTTTCTCCCTACTACTATTCTTCATAACCGTATCAGCACTGGGACCAGCATTGTGGTGCAATTGGTCGGGCTGCTGCCTACAATGCTGGCATCCTATATGGGTGCTAGTTTTGAGGCCCAGCTGTTCCACTTCTGCTCCTGGCTTCTGTCTAGGCCAACCATAGCTGTTGTGGCCACTGGAGAGTAAGCCAGCAGAAAGATCTATCTTCCCCTCTCTCCACAACTCTCCTTTTCAAATAAATAATGTTTTAAACAAATCAGACCAGTACTTGGGATATCCCTAGTGTTACTTAAAGTCTATTTGGATGTTCATATAGCAACCCAAGCTTTCTTATGATTAAAGTTAGCATGGCCTATCTTTCTCTGCCCTTTTATTTGTGTCTGTGTCTAAGGTAGGTGTCATGTAGGCAGTATATCATTTCGTGTTGCCTTTTCATCCGTTTCAACAAAAGCTACATTTTGGAGTATTTAGATCATTTACATATCATGCTATAATTGATACAGTTGTGCTTAAATCTACCAATACCAAAAATACCAAAAGCTGCAATATATGTGTATGTGTATGTGTATGTGTATGTTCATATATATGAATATATATGGGGCCCTGCACCCACATGGGAAACCTGGAAGAAGCTCCTGGCTGTTGGCTTCAGATCGACCCGGCTCCAGCTGTTGGGGACATCTGGAGGTGAACCAGTGAATGGAAGACCTTTCTCTCTCTCTCTCTCTCTCTCTCTCTCTCTCTCTCTCTCTCTGTAACTCCACTTCTAAAATAAATACATTTTTAAAAAGAAAAACTTTCGTTAAAATTAAAAACATAAAACTGTACAGATCATAGAAACCCTCAAGAACCCCTTGGGAACCTCGGCATGAGCACCTTGCTTCTACCCTATTTTCTTTCACAACAGCGGATAAGTTCCTCCATCACTGTAAGACAGAAGTTTGAACTTCAGAATATCTAATGAAACCACCTACCCAATCCGTGGCTATGAGAACACCAGGACCAGAAGATATACTATGGCTAATAAGTACACGAAAGATGATGAACACTCTGGGCTCTCAAGGAAATGTAAATTAACTGCACTGAGATTCCATTACACACACATTCTACTCTGCAAAGGCTATAGCAGCACATCATCCAAGTTTACAGGAGGATATGAAGTTAATGAAACTGTCACTCATTGTTAGTTGAAATAAAAAAGTGGTACAGCCACTTATTGGTATGCCAGTTTTCCCCTAAAGGTAAACATTCACTTACTATACAACCCAGCAACGCCAGTCCTAGGCAATTACTAGGTCAAAAAAGCATGTCTACACAAAGACTTGTACCGAAATGTTTGTAACAGCTTTGCTCATAACAGGTGAAAAATGAAGAGCCTAATTGCTCACCCCTCGCTAAACCCATTATCAATGGCACATGCACATGAGATAACTTAATGCAGGAGTGCTCCAAGGACACATGCAAGATAGCTGGATGAATCCATGTGGTAACCTGGAACAGTGAAAAGAGCTACACACCAAGGGTCAATACCACTTGAATCCACTTCCATGAAGCTTTTGAAAAGACAAAGTAACAACAGAAAGAAGTTCAGGACTCCCAAGGCCTGGAGTAGGGCACGGCATGAATGGCCAAAAACAGACATTCATTCTGTGGGGGCAGTATTTGATCTAGAAGTTTAACTTCTCTGCCCTATTTTAGAGTGCCTGGGTTCAATCCCTGACCCTAACTCTACCTTCCTGCCAATGCATGCCTTTGGAGGCAGTGGTGATGGCTCAAGTACATAGGTCCACACCACTTATGACATGGATTGAGTTCCTAGCTCCTGGCCTCAGGCTCAGCTAGGGACAGTTGGGAGCATGTGCAGAGTAAACCAGTGTGTCGGAGCTCATTTTATCTCTGTGCCTCTTGAACTAACAAATGAATGAATAATACATATTTTGAAAAGGAATGGTTGTAGGGTGACATATATTGCTGTAGTGGCAGAGCCATGATATATCTGACAAAACTCAGAAAGAACAGAAAGTTGTGGATTTTGTGTTTTTTAACCTTATTATGGTCTCCCTGATCGGCGACAACTAACTGAGCACCAAAGGGGAAACCCGTTGAAGTGAAATGGACACTATGAGAAACACTGACTTGATCAGCCCTTGCCCTTACTGCGGATGAACAACTTGATACGTTATCCCACTTAGTATATTTTATGTTTGTTCTACTTTAGGTTGAATACTGTAATCAATACACATTTAAGTGTTGAAACTTAACTGAAAAATGATTGCTGCTAAATATAAGAGTGGGAATAAGAGAGGGAAGAGGTGTGCAATTTGGGACATGCTCAAGCTGACTTGCCCCAAATGGTAGAGTTAGAAGCATACCAGGGGATTCCAATTTAAGGTGGCATGTACCAATGCCATCTCACTAGTCTGAGTGATCAATTTCTGTTCACAATTGATCATAATGATAGGACTAAGAACCAAAGGGATGACATAAGTAAGACTAGTGTCTGCAAATACTAACCGATGGAATAAAAAGGGAGAGAACGATCCACCATGGGAAGCGAGATACACAACAGAGTCAAGAATGGCGGATGTCCTAAACAGCACCCTGGCCTCAGAATCAGCCCTTAAGGCATGTGGATCCAGCTGAAAAGCACATGAGAGTATATCAGGCATGGGAAGCCAAGACACACTGGGGGAAAAATGACCTAAATGAAAGTTCTCCACGGGTGAGATCCCAGTGGAAAGAACAGGTCATCAAAGAAGGAGGTACCTTTCTTTGAAGGGAGGATAGAACCTCCACTTTGACTATGGCCTTGTCTAAACAAGATAAGTGTCGGAGAACTCAGAGGGCTTCCATAGCCTTGGCAACTCATGACAAGAGCCTAGGGTGATTACTGATGCCATAGACAGGAGTGTCAAGTTGTTAAGTCAACAAGAGGAGTCACTGTGCACTTACTCCTCATGTAGGATCTCTGTCTTAATGTGCTGTACAGTGTGATTTAATGCTATAACTAGTACTCAAATGATATTTTCCACTTCGTGTTTCTATGTGGGTGCAATCTGTGGAAATCTAGACTTAATATTTGCTAAACTGATCTTCTGTATATAAAGAGAATTGAAAATGAATCGATGACAATGGAAGGGGGGAGGGAGCGGGAAAGGGGAGGGTTGCAGTAGGAGGGAAGTTATGGGAGGAAAGCCATTGTACTCCATAAGCTGTACTTTGGGAATTTTTATTCATTAAATAAAAGTTAAAAGAAATTTCAGGTCCAGACTTGAGGGTCACAATAGATATTTAAGAAAGAAGATAAGCCAGGAGGAGGAGGAGGGAGGAAGGGTGGGAGCTGGAGGAGAGGAGAAGAGGAAGAAGAAGGAGAAGATAAGAGAAGAAGAAATAAAAGAAGAAGAAAAGAAGAAGAAGAGAAGAAGAAGAAGAAAGAAGAATAGGAAGAAGAGGAGAAAGGAAAGAAGGGGAAGGGTATGTTAAGATTAGATGACAGGAGGAAGGAGGAAGAGAGAGAGAGAGGAGGAGGAGAGAAGAGAGGAGAGAGGAGGAGGAGGAGGAGGAGGAGGAGGAGGAGGAGGAGGAGGAGGAGGGAAGGAGGAGGAGAAGAGAAGAAGAAGAAGAAGAAGAAGAAGAAGAAGAAGAAGAAGAAGAAGAAGAAGAAGAACAACAACAACAACAACAACAACAACAACAACAACAACAACAACGACAACAACAACATGTATATTTCCCATGCTTACACACACTGGAAATCAACTGGGGAAATAAACTTGGAAGAAGCTTAAATATTTCTTGTGTGAAGCCAGGATATGTCAATGTATTAACTGAAGAAGTAGATGAAATTAAAGAACATATTTTTGTAAGCAGAGTACAAACGATGTTAGTAAAATACTATTCTACAAATCAAACTATATGTGGAAACACAGTACATCAATAGAGTGAGGTAAGAATTGTAAGAGTGGCTACCTTTTTAAATAAACCATTTAAGTTACTCATGTAGATGAAAAAAATCTGCATGCTTATTTAGATTAAATATTTAACAGTACTTAACAAATTGTATTACCTGGCTATAATAATAAACAGAAGAGTAAAAAGAAATAGTAACTTGCTTTTCGGACCAAGAATGCCTAAAACCAACTTACATCAACCAAGTAATACAGAATCATTGGAAGCTTTTTCCCTGGGAATGGACTCAGACAAGCTCTCCTCTTTTCACTAGCTGCCTCCGACATTGCACTGAAGTGGTGCACTCTTGGAAACACGCTTTAAGGACCGACATTTAAGGAACAATATTTGAGAGTCACACTTTCGGATGAAAGGTAACTCCACATAATCCAAACCCAGCTAAATCAATTTACTGGATGCAATAGCAATAACTGAAATTCACAGAATTACTATGTAGCAACAAACACAATAGGAAAATAAAACTAAACGACAAAACACAGAATAGGAACTACATATCTAAAGAATGAACCAAAAAAGGTCTAATCTATGTAATATGTGTAAACATCTATCAGTGAAAACGGTACGTTAAGAAAAGACTAGGAAGACCTAACAGAAAAATAGATCGAGCATATGCAGAAAGCAATACTAAAAATGGTCCAAAGGCCACTGAATGTTCAGTGGACTGTTAAGGCACCCTCAGCAGGTTACTGCAAACTGCAGATCATAACTTGCTAGCGGGAACTCAGACACATGAGGTAAAGAGGAGAGCACGAAGTGGGACGAACAGAAAAGTGAGCACCCTCCATCTTTTGAGAGGTGTGGGACAAAACAGAAAGCAGCCGCTTCAAATCAGACCTCAAACCTCGACATTCACTTCCCCAGTCACCCGGCACAACTCCACGTGACCCCACTGTGACGGAGAGGGCTTTGATTGGCTGAGTCACTCGCTATGGCATACGCACACAACGGGCGTGCAAACTGTCCAATCAGCAGGCACGCTAGCTGCACCAATAGGTACTCCGACTCCGCGGGATCCCTTTGAGAAGACGCCATAGTTGCGCATGGGTTTGGCTGATAGACGTTGAACAGCGCTTAGCGCTTCAAACTCTCCTTTCTGGTGCCCTTCCTCTGCGCGGGGCGGAGCAAAGGAGAAGCTTGGGATCCCTTGGAAGCCGGAAAGTGGTGAGTGCACGAGGCTGGGCCTCTCATGGGGATGAGTGAGTAACCGGTGGCAACACACTGGAAATGACTAACGTGAGCCACAGGGCTCCCCGTGCTCAGTTTCATAAGTTTCAGAGCCTAGTTTTGTGCTGGGGCAGCAGCTACCTGGATCCCGCCCCATCCATGGCGTGTAGAATGGGCCAACACCGAGGACCCTAGTCATCCCAAACCCCTTCCTGCAAGCAGCGGCGTTGGCTCAGTATGAGCAGCTTTGTACCATCAGCCCGTGTCTACAGTGAGGCCACGGTGGTCACTAAGGAAAACCAGGACTGCAAGCGGGGATTGACGCAGAGAAAACCTGCTGTCTGTGGGGCCGTCAGTCACTCCTGTCCTGGTAGTGGTTATCGGAATCCCCTGAGTTTCCTGTCCCGAGTCCCTGCAGAATAGCCTTCCTAAGGGTCCAGTCCTTTTTCTCTGCCTGTTGACACAGAGCCACAGACAGAGTAAGTTGGAAACAAAACTTTTATTTTAGCTGCAAGTTATGGTCCTCTACATGGAGGAGGCCTGAAACTTCGCAGGACCTAATGTGGAGTCAGAAAGGATCAGCAGGAGACACCAAGCCAGTTAGCCTTTTTTAGGGACACTGCTGAGTTTCCTCAGGTATTCTTAAGGGAAAGAGCCGATGGGCCCTTAAAGAACCTCCTTTTTCTTTCTGATAATGGAAATTAAATTTTCACAAGAAATTCAGATGGGTGTCATCCCGTAGCCATCTTCTTTCATTTCTTTAACAGAGTCATGCTGCTGTTTGATTTCTCTGAGCCCATCCGTTTTGGAATTAGTTCCATGCTTTGTGCATGATTGTTTGATTTCGTAGGATTAACCTGAGTAGAAAGGATGATAGGGAAAATTCGTGAAGTCATTGTTTTCTGCTAACTTCTAGTAGGAATAGGTGCACCCATGGATTGACCACCCTGGTAGCTCAGTGAGTTTGGGTCAGTTCAAATGACTTCCTATTCCTGTCCACCTTTGCACCCAGAGGTGTCCCAATCCTGTTTTTTTCCCCTTTTGTTGTACTTTATAATAAACATTGCCATTTCTACCAAAGAGTAATTTTGCAAATTTTGAAGAAGTTGCTAGGAATTATTGTTATTATACTGGAAAGAGTTTTCCCCCTTTTTTACACACATGTGTGTCTCAGGCTGTGCTTAGGTAGTTCACTGATTCAAGTGTTTAGGGGACTTGGCTTCTTTCAGGTTTATTTTTGAAGGTGTTGGTAGTGCCATTCTTGCTCATGACAGTGCATTGTGATTTTTTTAATGTTCTGAGGAAAATCAGGTTGTAGGTTGTAAATAAATTTAAATTCAGTAGGAAGTGTTGTCAGTATAGAGAATAATATCCAGGTATATTATTCTTGTGAATTACCAATACTTGGAGTGGTCTAATGTATCCTTTCCATATAATTTAAGTAGCTTCACTCTATGATAAAACATTGCTAAATACTCCTCACCACTACTTTTGTATTTATGGAGTGCTATTTAATTACACTTTTTGTCATTAATGTGTCTGTAAATTCACTTGTAATTCTGTAAGCTTTTGCCTTATGCAATTTCTTCCCTGTGTAGGTGCATACATATAAGCATTTTTCTAGGTTGGAGAACTTTCTCCTTTATTTTTATCTAATTTCAATAATGTTTATACTTATACCGTTATAATTTCTAATGCATGATTTGTGAAAATCAGTGTCACCAATCCATTTCTTTGAGCTGCTGTTAGAATGGTTTTTCCTCTTCACCTTTATTTTAACCTAATTGATTCTTTTTTATTATTTAAAATATGTAATTGTATGTCTCAAAGCAGCAAATATTGAATATATTTATTGGTTAAAGATGGAGCTAGTAAATACATCCAGAATGCAGAATGGCAAAATCAAGCTAATTTTGGTGTGTATTATACACATGTTTTATCAAAATAAAATTTGATACGTAATCTCCCAGCGGGTTTCTGTAGAATACACTGTTGTTAAACAGTGCCACCATGTTGTACAATAGGTCACTTTATTGATTTTTTTAAAGATTTTTATCAATTCATTTGAGAGGTAGAGTTACAGACAGTGAGAGGGCGAGACAGAGAAAGGTCTTCCTTCTGTTGGTTCATTCCCCAGATGGCCACACGGCCGGAACTGTGCCGATCTGAAGCCGGGAGCCTCTTCCTGGTGTCCCATGTGGGTGCAGGAGCCCAAACACGTGGGCCATCTTCTACTGCTTTCCCAGGCCATAGCAGAGAGCTGCATTGGAAGAGGAGCAGCCAGGACTGGAACCGGCGCCATATGGGATGCCGAGCTGTAGGCGGAGGATTCACTCACCTCGCCACGGCGCCCACCCCCGTAGGTCACCTTAATTTACTCTGATATAAATGAAATTTACCACCCTTTTGATAACATGGCCTCAAATCTGACTCCTCTGTGTGTCTTTATTCTTTTTGTGTTTTTGGACAGGCAGAGTTAGATAGTGAGAGAGAGAGAGAGAGAGAGAGAGAGAGAGAGAGAGAGAGAGAGAGAGAGAGAGAGAAAGGTCTTCCTTTTCCGTTAGTTTACCCCCAAATGGCCACTACAGCTGTTGTGTTGCAGCCCTTGTGCTGCGCCAGTCAGAAGCCAGGAGCCAGGTGCTTTCTCCTGGTCTGCCATGTGGGTGCAGGGCTGAAGGACTTGGGCCATCCTCCACCGCCTTCCCGGGCCACAGCAGAGAGCTGGACTGGAAGAAGAGCAACTGGTACTAGAACCCGGCGCCCATATGGGATGCTGGTGCCGCAGGCGGAGGCTTAGACTAGCGAGCTGCGGCACTGGCCTTTATTCTTAAAACATATGTTTTTTGGACACAGTAGTGTGTTAAGTCTCATTCCTCATGTATTGCATCAGTCTCTATCTTTTAATTGGTTATCTAGTCTTAATACTCCTTTATGTGTTCTGGACATCGATATCTTGTCAATAAATGTGTTGCAAGTCATTTTCTAGTTTTAGAATTTCATTTTCATTGTCTTTATAGTAACCTAGTTTAAAGTTGTTTAAGTTCAATTTGTCTAAATTTGAAATACAAATTTCCCATGAAATACAAATTTCATATACACATATTTAGGAACACAGTGATATTTTCCAACCTGCCCCCGTTGTGCTCTTGAACCCATAATCCCATGCTCCCACACTTCCAACATTTTCCCTCCTCTATCACCTCTTCTCATTCTTAGTTCTTAAAAGGATCTGTGTTCAGATTACTTCATACTCTTAAGATTAAGCACTCAAAAAGAGTAGGAAACAATAGTAAAAACAATGATAAAAAACACTTTTCTTCAACAATAGAAACTGAAGCTGTAAACGATCGTCAAATAGCAAAACATCGATTTCAATCGTGTGTGATTTAATATTAGGTACTCTGTTAGTTTCCATAGATCAAGGAAAACATACTTTTGTTCTTCGTGTATCTAGCTTTTTTTTTCACTAAGTGTAATGGTCTACTTGCATCCATTTAATCGCTAGAGACAGGGTTTCATTTTTTTTAATCATTGAGTAGTATTCCATAGTATTTCTCTACCTGTCCTCAGTTGATGAGCATTTGAGTTGAATCTATGTCTTTGGTATTGTGAATTGAGCTGCAATAAACATTAGAGTACAGATCACTCCTTCATATGCTGAAGCTGTTTTGTTTGGGCAAATTCCCAGGTATTGGATCATTTGTTCTATTTTCATACTTCTTTTTTTCTAAAGATTTATTTATTTGAGAGAGAGAGAGAGAGAGAGAGAGAGAGAGAGAGAGAGAGAGGACTTCCATGCACTGGTTCACTCTCCAGTTGGCCGCAACAGCCAAAGGAAGCCAGGAGCTACTTCCAGGTGTCCTAAATTGGGTGCAGGGGCCTGAGGACTTGGGCCATCTTCTACTGCTTTCCCAGGCCATAGCAGAGAGCTGGATTGGAAGAGGAGCAGCCAGGACTAGAACAGGTGCCCATGTAGGATGACAGTGCTACAGGCCAGGACTTTAACCCACTGTGCCACAGCGCCGGTCCCTATTTTCATACTTCTGCGGTATCTCCATATTGTCTTCACAGTTGCTGCACCAGTTTACATTTCCACTCACAGTGGATTAGGGTAATTTTCCCCCCATGTCTTTGCCAGCATTTCTTATTTGTTGATTTATATATGAGAGCTATTCTCATTGGTGTTAGGCAAAACCTCCTTGTGGTTTTGATTTGTATTTCCTGAAGGCTAGTGATCGTGGTCAGTGTTTCAAGTGTCTGATAGCCATTTGGATTTGCTCTTCAGAAAAATGCCTGTTTAATCCTTTGTCCATTTCTTAACAAGGTTGTTTGTTTTGTGGTTGTTGACTTTCTTGAGGTCTTAATAGATTCTGGATAGTAATCCTTTATCATTTATGTGGTTGCAAATATTTTCTCCTATTCTGTTGGTTTCCGCTTCACTTTGCTAAATATTTCTCTTGCAGTCCAGATGCATCGTTTTTTGCAATCCCATTTGTGAATTTGGACTTTGATTGGCTGTGCTTTTGGGTTATTTTCCAAGAAGTCATTGCCTATGCCAATGTTTGTCTTTCAGAGTTTCCCCACTGTTCTCTATTAATTCAGTGGTATCAGTTTGTAGATTCTGGACCTTGGTGCAATTTGTGTGGGTTTTTGTGTAAGGTGTAAGGTAGGGGTCTTGTTTCATACTTCTGCATATGAAGATCACATTTTCCTAGCACCGTTTGTTGAAGAGATGGTCCTTGATCTAGGGACTGATTTCAGTTTCTGTCTCTCTCTCTCTCTCTCTCACTGTCCACTCTGCCTGTGAAAAAAAAAAAAAGATAATTGGTGAAGCCTGGGCTGTGGTATAATAGGTTAGACCTCTGGCTGTGGTGCCTGAATCCCATGTTGGCACCAATTTGTGTCGTGGCTGCTCCTCTTCTGATCCAGCTGTCTGCTTATGGCCTGGGAAGGCAGTGGCAGAAAGCCCAACTGATCTGTGTCTGTATCAGTTAAGC